CCCCCAAAACCCCAAAACCCCAAAACCCCAACACAAAAATAATAAATAGATTAATCTAAATGGAGTACTTATACAAACCCTTCGATTACTTCAATATAAATCAGATCTTCCAATTCTTCAAATCCTTATACCTCAAAGACCAAGAATTTGAACAACTAGAAAGCAGGATTCCACAGAGTAATTGTTTCGCTCATTTTATAGGCGAAATGGCTCATCTTATTAAGCCATCTGTTGATATTGTGAAGAAGGTAAGGAAAGATAGGTGGGAATTGGGAAGTTTGGCCGGGGATTTTGGTGTAGTGAACGGAGTTTTGGGAAGTGGTGATGGGGAACTTGGTGGTGGTTAGGGGTTGGTGTTGATTTGTGGGGGAGTTTTAGATGGAGAATAGAGGTTTAGTGGAATAGATTTTAGCTGAGGTGCTTAATTTAGTTCGAGGTGTTTTAAGACGTGAAGTTCTTGAGCAAATATATTAGGGATTGTCAGCTTTCTAATTAGTATAGTACTTTACTTTCAGCTATACTGAGCTGATAGCAAAGATAGATGGTATATCAATATTTTTAATGCATAGTAATTTTCTAGTTGAAATAGAAATGAAGGATAACAGAGATCTTAAGTTAGGCTTTCTAAAGATGCTTATTTTTGATATCTCCAAAAAATCATTTCATTTCACTAAGAGCTGTTGGTAAAGTTTTATTCAGTAATTATTTGAACTTTTCTATTGTATATGGAAATCTAGACTAATCTTAAAAATATTTTAATATTAAAAGACGGATTTGGTCTTGATATCCTCCAAAAGGACTGTTTCTGAATTTTCCGAGAGAGTTCAATTCGGAAAGTTATGAGTCCTAAGTTTATTCTTAATCTAATTTTTAATGATCTCCTATCTCAAATAAGAAAGGATGGCTGGACTTAGAAGTGAGGATTTTATAGTTATTATTGACAAAATACTTTTAATGAACCTATCTTTCCAGCCCCTTTAAAATACTGTATACTGAGTTCCTAAATATGGTCTTTGAAGTCGCCAATATTAAGTATTAGGATACTGGCTATAATTAATACTCCAGAAAATAATAAGTGTAAAAATTTGTCACTAAATCATGATTTAATAATAGTTCTGTTTCTTCGTCCAGGCATGAATAATTAATGAAGTCATTAGGTACACTAATCCTAGGTCTCTAAAACTTGTGTGGCTAAATCATTCTTAGTAACATTCTTGAGAATTAATCAGTATTTCTGGAATTTTGGAATAAATTTATAAAAACTCTGTGAACATTATCAATAATTTTCAAGGAATCTCTATTTTAGTAATTTGAAGCAATATGTTAAGATCAGGGAGACAACTCTAAATTCTTTATAGTCATGCAATATTATTACCATGAATGTGATATGCGGCACAATTCTTGCAGTAAGTAGAGTATTTATCAAAAATAGCTCCTAAATCAAGAAATGCTTCAAAAGCTAATTATGATCTTTACTGCAACTGGAGTCTTAATATGATTTAAGCAAGTGGAAAAACTAATATCTAAATTTTCTGAGCATTTACAAATTGCAATCTTAATATTCAACGGGATATCGTATTTAGCAGCTGCCTTGGTATTTCCAATAGAACATAAGGGCCACTTCAATGCTTTTATTTCAAGTGTATATATGTATCACTTTTATCTTGCCACTTTGACTCCTTCTAAAAGGAATATAACAACTGTGATCTTTATTTCAACTGCAATCATGCACATTGCAATTGGTATATACAGGCTAGGTGAAATAGATGCAGATCATCTCATCTCAGTTATATTATCCATTAGAACTTTTGATCTTGGACTGGATACCAACCAGACGAGGATCTCTCAAATGTACCACATGATACTGGACAATATTAAACTGGCTAATGAAAAGCAGAAGGTTGTTCAACAGTTCCCTCACCCAGTTTTAATTCTTCCTCAAAAAATATCTGAAGATTCCAAATGATACTCCAATGACCAGTTTGAAAGCAAAATTAAGGCTCTCGACGGAAAGATACAAAGACTGGATCGTGTCCAAGTTGCTGTGAAGAAGAATGGAGAATTTCAGAAGAATCGGCAAGAAATTCTAACACTTCTACAGTATTTGGAAAAATTTGATGACCTAAAACAGAATCAGTTTAAAGGGGTTAGGAAGAATACAATTATTAGGTGCAAACCATATCAGTATAAGTAAGTATAGGTTTGGTCTTGATTTTGGAACTGTAAAGTTTAATATGATTGTTCAAAATTTAAACTCATGATTTTAAATAGAGCTACATCAAGTAGAAACAATACTTCCAATAATCAATACGATAAAATCAAGAAAATAAACAGAAACTTCAACATCAAATCTCTGAGCATTGAGTGGAAGGATGTTCCGTCTGTCATGCATGTCTTCATTGACACCACTGACATCATCAATCTCGAACAAGCCAAGAACAGAATCAAAATGCAGAAGATCATGTTTGCAAGTGCGAGTCACGAATTCAGGACTCCACTCAATGCTATCATTAACTCTTTTGAGATCATCAATGTCACCCTCAAGGAGTTCTTGAAAATGGTATCCAAAGATATTAGTAGGAATGTTCTCCAAAGCAACCAAGCTACAGAGCACATAAGCTTGATTCAAAAGTTTATCAAAACTGGGTCTACCTCATCTGTGCTGATGATATCTCTAGTAGAGGACATTTTAAATTTGTCCAAAATTGATAATGGAACTTTTACCACCAAGTTTGAGTTCTTCCAAGTTTCAGGGTTGCTCCACGAAGTGCACTCGTTGTTTGAAATGCAGTGTGAGAGCAAGGGAGTTGACTTGCTCATTGAGTGTGATGATGCCTTACTAAATTGTGAAGTCAGAACTGACCGTAACAGAATCAGACAAGTCTTGCTGAACTTGGTGTCGAACTCCTCTAAGTTCACCTTCCGTGGCTTCATTAAAATAATATCTACAATGATGAAATCTCTAGATGGCTCAGATTACTTGGAATTCAGAGTGCAAGACACTGGAACAGGCATCAAAGAGCAAGACCAAGAGTGTCTGTTCAAGCTATTTGGTGTCCTCGAAGATAATGAAGATCTGAATCCAAACGGATGTGGACTGGGTCTCACAATAAGCAAGAAATATGTAGAGCTGCTTGGAGGAGAAATTAGGTGACAATCAGTATATAAAGAAGGAACAGAGATGATATTTACAATTCTTGTTCATGATACTCGAAGGATTTCCCCCAATGAAGCTGTATTAGACATCAATGATGCTAATCTTCCTCTTAACTTAATCGAGAGTATGTCTGGTTCAGAATTTAAGGTTAATGAAGAATATGATTCTAATCTTAGAGCTGTCAATCAGCTTCATACAAGCAGGTTTAACAGTTCTAAATTTCAAATTTAATGTAAATCAGCCTCTTCTGTTTTATCTTTAAAATTATCTTGCTAAATTTTAACAATAAGGTTGTAGTAAAAATATTAATCTTCTAGAATAATATTCACCTCTGGTTCTTTTGTGAGCAAGGATCCTAATGCCTCTGATTATAGTCAGAGAATTTTAGTGGTAACTGGCTTCAAAGAATAATCTACCCAAAAAATGTATGGGCCTCTACACCATCCCTTTGATTTAATATTTTGGGTTTATCATATTTACTACGTTTAGCTGAGATATGTAGTTTCATGTAAATGGAAGGATTAACGGTGTAGAATTGTTAATTATTGATAAGTCTTTAACTTTAATAGCAAGAATCATTTGTAAGTTGTGTTCCTCATCTTTCTCTCACCAAATATTTTGAAGTATTTCCCTCATATAAAATAATCTTTTTAATATTCAAATAGTGAAATCTTGATAAACTGCAAATTCAATCTCAGAATATTAGCTCGGGGTTTTGGGGTTTTGGGGTTTTGGGGTTTTGGGG